ATTTTCCACTCTGTCACCCTTTCCTTACAGACGAGATGATGAGTGTTCAGATGAACTATACAGCTTAGTTCCACCGGTCCTAACTTTCACGGATAAGACTCGCCATGCAACGCATATCGTAGCGAACCACCCTCATTTCCTTCATATCCCCCTGGTGAGGGGTAAGTTCCATAAAGCAGCTTCCTCCCACAAACCACTGCCTTGTGGAACCGACTCCCATGAGGCTGGTTTCCCCCGATCTCTACAATCTTAACCTGTTCAAGTCTAAGGTTAACCGTTATCTTCCACACATATCCCCATAAGCTGTTCGTAAGCCTCTACCTCAAGTGTCTCCAGGGCCTTGTACACGATGAATACTATTGTAAAAAAACAACAAAAAAAAACAAAAAAAAACAATTAAACCTGACCGTGTATTGAATTTGACCTTATTTGGAGGCAAATAAATACTCATTTTCCATTCTGTCACCCGCTTCCTCACAGATGAAACGTCGCAATCCTCTCTGCTCTTTCGCTATTTCCATGGTGAGGGTTCTGATTCAATTACACTTCTTAGTTACACCAGCCTCAATCTTCACGGCTAAGACCCGCCATGCCACACATATTGTAGTGAACCACCCTCATTTTCTTCATATCCCCCCCCCGGTGAGAGGTAAGTTCCACTCAGACAGCTTCTTCCCACAAATTGCCGTCTTTTGGAACCGAGTCTCAAGAGGCTGCTTCCCCCGATCACTAAAGTCTTAACTTGATCAAGTTCAGAGTTAATTGTTATCTTCCACACATATCTGCATAAACTGTAACTCTTGCTCAGCAATCCTCTAACTTGAGTGCCCCACGGCCTCATATAGGGTGAAAACTAAAAAAAAAAAAAAATTGAACCTGACTGTGTATTGAATTTGCCCTTATTTGGAAGTAAATGAATACTCATTTTCCATTCTGTCACCCGCTTCCTCACATTGTAAAAAAAAAAAAAAAAAAAAAAAAATTGAACCTGACTGTGTATTGAATTTGCCCTTATTTGGAGGTAAATGACTACTCATTTTCCATTCTGTCACCCGCTTCCTCACATTGTAAAAAAAATTTTTTTTGAAAAATTGAACCTGATTGTGTATTGAATTTGCCCTTATTTGGAGGCAAATGGATACTCATTTTCCATTCTGTCACCCGCTTCGTCATATTGTAAAAAAAAAAAAAAATTGAACCTGACTGTGTATTGAATTTGCCCTTATTTGGAGGCAAATGAATACTCATTTTCCATTCTGTCACCCGCTTCCTCATATTGTAAAAAAGAAAAAAACAAAATGTCAGTGCGGAATTTTTTAATCAATTACCAATCGTGATGAAAAAGAAAAGAAAAGAAAATACAAGCAGTTTGCAAAGTGACCATAACGTTGTCGTTGAATGGTCAGTTTGGGTTCCGGAAAAAAATAGATTATAATAAAGTCGCTACATTGTCACAACTAAAAATACAACGGGTTTACAACGTTGTAAGAACGTTTCGTGATCGTTGGATACTATGCAGTTTTCGGACTTTATCACAGACATTTTAAAACCGATAAATTTTTTAATGATAATTTAGCAATTCACAAGGTGGCCGGTAACGACGCAGTTGAAACTCTATGAGAACTTTTGATCCTAGAAATTCAAGCGGAAAAGGGTGGTAAAATGTGGTAAAAAAATCAACAAATGTAACCTAACACAGACAGGCACAGAAAAAAAACAAGCACTCACTCATACACACACGCACATATATGCACAATCATCTATACGCACATACACACACAAACACGCACTGGTGTGTGCTGAATATTTCTTGACCTAAGAAACACATAAAAAACTGATGCTAGGTTATTTGGTCAGATTTTTGGAATTGGGTCTGCCCGAGAACTTTCAGTTTCCTCCTACCAATCTTATATAAAGAAAGGAAATCATTCATTTAAGAAATGAAGTTCCAAATTCTTCGACACACTAAAGTTATGCCAAATGCTTCAAATATGTTTCTAGTCTCTGGTGGTTCTATTAAGAAGTGGATTTTTCAGTGCAACCACGACGCTACCGAATGTAACACGTGGTCGAGATTTAAACGGCAATAACTTGTAAAAATTGCCCAAGCCCACCCGGCACTTCACCTTTTGTAGACATATTTGACGCCGGGTAATGACCCCAGCCCCCTCCCGAAGGAGTGGTACTGACTGATACACTAAAGGCTTGGGCTTAATAATATTTTGAAACTGGCGAAAGTGCCAGGATGGTTCCATTAAGAAGAAAAGATACAAAAAATGACGAAACTAATCGTCTTCGTTAAACGTACAGAGCGCCTCACAAAAATCAGGAAATTTGGTACAGTTTATTTAATTGTTGGATTTTTTGTTACAGTTATTTGAAACAAAAGTAAATGAAATTTAGTAGCTTAAAATAGAATTAAAAAAATATTATATGTGGTGTTCAAACTAAAGAACTCTGACAAAATTTCTTGGCATTTTTTAGTTACCAATTTCGATGTTCTTTCTTAAAGAGAACAATCACCTCGCGTTGAAAATTTGATAACTGCTATATCTTGGAACAACAAATGGTTTAAAACAATATATGTTAGTTTTTTAGTTCATTCATATAGTAATTTTTTTTATATGCTAGTTAATTTTTTCATCATATCGTAAATCTAAAATTTCCTGTTTTTTTTTTTGTTTTTTTAATGGTGACGCTATAAAAATAGTTTCACTTTATTGTCGAAAATTTTCTTTTCTTTTCTTTCTTTTTTTCTTTTCTTTTTTTTTTTTTTTTTTAGAGCTTTCTTTCTTTTTTACAAATATTCGTTTTTAAAATCCGGATATTATTTCATTTTTTTTTTTTTAATTTTATTTGTGTAGAAAGCTTTGTTTTTTACTTTTTCAAATAAAACACGTGAACTCCTAACGAATGCAATACATATTTAAACCAAAAATGATTTTTTCCCGAGGAAAGTTTCTTACTTTTTAAGACCAAGCCTAAGTTTTCGTCTCGCCAAACTGAATTAAAAGCTTTTTTTACGATGAGAGACTCAAAGCAAAGTTTTAGCAATAAAACAGAAAACATACAACAGAATTTTAATATTAGATTTGCCATAGATAATTCCTTAGCCTCTCTTTATAAAAATGTAGTTTTTGTGTAAACGGCGGTGGTTCTTCACGAAGCGTTCCTTCCTTAAAAAAAGAAAAAAATTGCTATTCTTGTTGAAGATTAGCTTTAATCAAATTAATATCACGTAGTGTCACATAGAAGTTTTCATATATTTGTTAAATTAGCCATTTTTATGATGTTATTCCAATTCAATTCGTACGTAATTTCTCTTTTTCTTTCTTTCTTTCTTTCTTTCTTTCTTTCTTTCTTTCTTTCTTTCTAATAATTTCATCAATCTTTCCTTATTTCAAGTTTTTGTCTTTCTATTTCTTTCTTTCTCTTTCTTTATTTCTATCAATTTCATCTTTCTTTCCTTTATCCTTTTTTCTGTCTTCCATTATTTTCTTTCTTTCATTCAGTTAATTTTATCTTTCCTTGTTAATTTTTGCTTTTCTCTTCTTTCTTTCTTTTTTTCTTCTGTTCATTCTTTCTTTCATACGACATTCCACCCTTACTTCCTTTCCTCTTTCTTTCTATTAATTTCATATTTCATTCCTAGTTTAGTTTTTCTCTCTTGCTATTATTTTCTTTCTTTCTTTCTTTCTTTCTTTCTTTCTTTCTTTCTTTCTTTCTTTCTTTCTTTCTTTCTTTCTATTAATTTCATTTTTCTTTCCGTGTCCATTTTTCTGTCTGTCTTTATTTATTTATTTTAATAATTTAATCTTTCTTTCCTTGTTCATTTTCTTTCCTTGTTCACTGTCTTTCATTTTTCATTCTATTTCTTTCTTTCTTTCTTTCTTTCTTTCTTTCTTTCTTTCTTTCTTTCTTTCTTTCTTTCTATTAATTTCATTGTTTTTTTCTTTCCTTAATTTCATTTTCTTTCCTTGTTCTTTCTTTTCTTTCTTTCTTTCTTTCTTTTAATTCCATATTTCTTTCCTTTTTCTTTCTTTCTTTCTTTCTTTCTTTCTATTAATTTCATTGTTCTTTTTTTCTATTAATTTCATCTTTCTTTCCTTGTCCATTTTTCTTTCTCTCTTTCTTTCTTTCTTTCTTTCTTTCTTTCTTTCTTTCTTTCTAATAATTCAATCTATCTTCTCTTGTTTTATTTCCTTTTCTTTCTTTCTTTCTTTCTTTTTATTAATTTCATCTTTCTTTCTTTCTTACACATTTCATCTTTCTTTCTTTTTTTATTAATTTCATCTTTCTTTCCTTGTTCATTTTTCTTTTTTTTTCTTTCTTTCTATTCATTTCACCTTTCTTTCCTTGTTCATTTTTCTGTCTGTCTGTCTTTCTTTCTATTGATTTTATCTTTCTTTCCTTGTTCATTATTTATCTTTCTTTTTCATTATATTTCTTTCTTTCTTTCTTTTTAATAATTCAAACTTTCCTTCCTTGTTCCATTTTCCTGTCTTTTCATTTCTTTCTTTCTATTAATTTAATCTTTCTTTCCTAGTTTAATTTATCTGTCTTGCGATTATTTTCCTTCATTCCTTCTTTCTTTCTTTCTTTCTTTCTTTCTATTTTCTTCCTTCTTTGTCTGACCACTATCTACTGTTTCTATCACAATTTCTCAGCTGGTATGCTCGTGTGCTTATGGCATAATCGTTAGCAACATTGAAAATGGAATCTGTTATGCTGAGTTCAAACTGCAGCTACGACTAATTCATATCCGCTCCGTACTCAAATCTGCGTGAATTCAGCATGGCAGACTTAACCAGTCGGCGAAACGTAAACTTCTTTTTCCAATTCTTTTGTTTTTGCTTTTTTACGGTTTATCAACCCTTTATGTGTAATTTAGAACCGAAGAATATTTCGGATTGTGTGACGTCGTTTACTGGTCTCCCATCTAAGTACTAACCGGGCTCGAACCGACATTTTCAGATTGATTTGACCGTACGCTTCTGATTTCAAACCACGGAGCGAAGGTAACCAGTAACACGTTTGGGAACCGAAGCGCGTAGTATAATACATCGAGTGTCTTGATGACCCACTGAACTTATGTCTATCTCCAGAAGTCTTAACGATATTCTACGTTTGTATCCAGGCTGACGAGGACAAGAACACAAGACTGACGATATACACAAATCTTCTTTACTAAAATCCAAATCATGGGTCAGATATAAAGCCATAATAATAACCTTCAACTGCAAAGGGCGAATGTGTTAATGTATGTGCATGTAAATATAAATAAATAAAAGGTGTATTAAAAACGATGAAAAAAAAAAGAATGAAAGAATATCTGAAACAAATAAAGAATAAGAAAAAGCAAAAGACAAAAAGAATATTCGAAATAATTTTTAAAAAATAGGGGACCATTTCTATTAATTCACCCCCAAATAAAAAAAGAATTTGTATTTACTAAAAATCACACCAAAAACTCATAAATGCTCTTTAAAATTTGTTCAAATATATATTTATTGTTTTGTTTTTTGTTTTTTTTGTTTTTTTTACATTACGTCTCCGAAAGATCTTATGCAAATAAGAGTCTATGATGCTGCGATGTGTTCTGAACATGGACTTATTCTTCATTTTGGGGTTCCGCCAGGAACTTTCGATTGTTTCTGGGTTAACGAAATTCATTCTGATTTACGATCAGATGAATAGAATTGGGATCATCCTTGAAAGGTGTATATCCTTTCCAATAATCCGACGTAATCGTAGCCCCAGATAAATTACAGCTTTGGATTATGTCCAATAATGTGGAGGCTGTTCTGTTTGGCACACAATACATGAAACATTCTTTTGTTTTCACGGTATATGCACCCCCAAAATAGCCATAAAAAGACAAACAAAGTTTGATTTAAAATTTATAATTTCTTGGGTCGAATTAATATTTGCGATAAGTAACTTTACATTATCTTGGGTGAATTAACAGAAAAGATTCGAAATAAGCAAAAGCAAAGAAAGAAAAAAAAGAAAAATAAAAGAAACAAAGAAAAGAGAGAAAGAATATGTGAAACAAATAAAAATAAGAAAAAGCAAAGAAAGAAAAAAAGAAAGAAAGAAAGAAAGAAGAATACCTGAAACAAATAAAAATTAAGAAAAAGCAAAGAAAGAAAGAAAGAAGAAAAGAAGGAAAGTAAGAATATCTAAAACAAATAAAAAATAAGAAAAATAAGAAAGGAAAAATAAAGAAAGAAAAGAAAGAAAGAAAGAAAAAAGAAAGAAAATCGCGTGGATACATTAATGACAGATATGAATTAAAAAAAAGATAAAAATTAAAGAAACGCTGTAAAAGACAAGTGAATGAAGTAATAAGCGCAAACTCAAAAGAGCAAACGATCTCTTTTTTGGAGGTTTATTTACCTATTTTTTTTTAACATTTACTTACTTTTCACACGAATTATCAATCAAAATCTTCATTTTTTTTCTTTAAAGTCAACACTAAAAGCTATTTGCATTCATCAAAATCATTAATAGAAACAAGGCCGCCTACTTTTATACCAAAACGGCTTTTTCCACAATGTTATGACATATTTATGACATATATATTTATGACATGACATATTTTTATATTTACAACTACCGAACAACATCAATTTTTTCTAAATTCGGTAATTTTATTTACTCCTTGAATGTAGAAATTTTGAGGAAAGGTCAAAGTTCATTCCTATTTGATCAATTTTTGGCTCTTACTGGTGATTAAATGTAGAGATTTTTTCCTGCGTTTACTTCGAAATATGAGAAAAAGTGCTACTTTTAAAACTCTCTGAAAGAGCAGACCATCAGATTAAGTAATAATTTACAGCAAAATGAATATGAAATAATTATAATTTCAATTAAAGCAAATTTATACTTTCTTTTCATCAAAGAATTCACAACGTGCATTTATTACTTGGCCTATGTTCTCGTAACTTGAAAAGGTTTGTCGATGGAAATGATTCCCTGTCAGTGTGTAAATGGGTAAACAACTCTTCTTTATTCTTAGGTGATTCACTTCGAACTTTGTGATCAATTTCATTCCAGACTAGTTCAATTGGTGCAAGATCTGGAGAGTGGTGGGGAAAAGTCATGATTTGCAAAATTCTCTTATCTGCCTTTGAGTTCAGATAATTTGTACACAGTTTTGGCAGCCAGAAGAAATTACATGTCTCTGCAGTTTTGAATAATATTTTTACTTTCACATAATGCCTTTAATTTGAGCAAAGTCTCCAGTAATCTCACCTCTAAGACAACCCCCAAACTATTACAATACCATCAGCATGCTTAACATTTGGCACAATGCAATTTTCACTCATTCGTTCGGAAGGAGTTTGTCAGACAAACACTCTCCTTTTACTTTCCAAAAGCTCAAATTTGAACTCAGCAGTCGATAGTATCTTTTTCCAGTCTTCTAAAGTCTAATCCTTGTGCTGTTGTGTTAATTTTAGTTTTTCAACTAATTTTCCTTTTCAAATAGAGGTTTCTTAACTGAAACACATCCTTTAGGCCCAGCAGAAAGAAGTCTTTTCTATACAGTCATAACAGATGTTGACGTCTAGAATTAAAATCCCCAGTTAGTTAGGGATATATATATATATATATATATATATATATATATATATATATATATATATATATATATATATAGTGAGAAGAGAGAAACTGCAAACGTTTTTGGTTAGAAAATACACATTATAACTAAAAAACGTTTACTTCTCTCTTCTCTTTAAAATATACACTTTTTCTCGTTAGAACAACTATGCTTCTCATATATATATATATATATATATATATATATATATATATATATATTCAATTGCATGGATATATGAGATTTTGTGACCTGGGTTTACACGCTTTTGCGATCATAAGTATTCATTTTTTCCACACCTGTTGCTCTACTCTGTGTTTCATACAAAACGCAAATCTTCAGGTGCTGATTGAAAACTGTTACATAATTTAAATTCTGATATATATATATATATATATATATATATATATATATATATATATATATATATATATATATATATATACCTACATATATATATATATCGGACTATAGTAATAGTGGAGCAGTCCATATTTTTGTTTATCCCACAAAATGTTTAATATCTAAAAAAAACACTAAATTAATTAAGTTTTATTTTTCCAGTTTTTCAGATAAAACATTTAATCATCTTGGCACCCTTTGTCCTAAAAAATCAGCAAGAGGGATCATCATTTCAACTTAGAGCTAAATAAATTCTTATTGCTCAAAGTAGAGTCCAATAGTGTTATAAAAACCTCGGAGAATTCCAGTAAGATATCTTTAATCATTTCTAAGATACCACGGTTCAAAGCTTAATCTAACAAATAGACAATTTTGCTTTGACCAATTTTGCTGTCACACCGTATATATATATATATATATATATATATATATATATATATATATATATATAACAAATCAAAACAGTATTTTTTTCTTGTTTGGCAAATAATATAGAGAGTTAAGTTTAAGAAAGTTGAATTACCTCCTCGGTTACCCAGTGAAGGTGCTGTTCAGCAAAAAATAAAGAAAAGAAAAAAGAAAAAAAGAAAGAAACGTAGCCAGCCTCCCCCATCCCGTCGACCATTTAAAAGTCAGTTCGCGCAGTGGATTGTTTGTTACAAACATCCAATCGAGTGCTCGGAAAACATACACTATTTTCGTCCAATTTATTAAAAAGGCCAGAGTGTCTGTTAGCGTTTGATTGCGAGGGGGAATCAGGGATTGATCTCCCTTGATTGGATCGTCTTGGCGATGGGGTGTATGATTTGGAAAGAACCGAAACTGCCTGATAAACCATGTCAATTTACATCACTGAAGAACTCCTCCGGCGCCTATTTAGGAGCGTATATATTTTATATATATATATATATATATATATATATATATATATAGGTAATAAATATTCATTTAAATAATATTTGCTTAAAAGAACTGATAAGGTTTGTCGGTTTAAGGTTTTTTTATTTTATTTTTACAAGTTTTGGATAACCTGTTGAGTATTATGCTCAAAGTTTTATATAGGGAATATTAAATAGCGTGTGTTTTTGAATATTATAAAGTGAATATTATATAGTGTTTTTGTGAATATTATATAGTTAATATTATACAGTGTGTTTTGAATATGATATAATGAATATTATATAAATTGGGTTTTTGAAAATTATCTAGTGAATATTATATAGTGTGTTTTGAATATTATATAGTGAATATCATCTAGTGTGTGTTTTGAATATTATATAGTGAATATTATATAGCGTGTGTTTTTAAATATTATATAGTGAATATTAAATAGCGTGTGTTTTTTAATATTATATAGCTAATATTAAATAGCGTGTGTTTTTGAATATTATATAGGGAATATTATATAGTGTGTTTTTTAATAATATATAGTGAATATTATATAGAGTGTGTTTTTGAATATTATATAGTGAATATGTAGATAAACTGTCCGAAGTTCATATTTTGTTATTTTTATTCAAATACTTTCGACTTTCACCGTCATTATCAAGAACAGATGTGGCAAAATATGAACTTTGAGGACGAGGCGTTATCCTTTTTTTTACACTATTTACATTCAGACTATTATCCTCATCTTCGTTGTTGTTATCACAACGTCTCGGTCGTTGTGCTCTCCGGCTTTTATAAGGTGTATAACGAACCACGGGACAATAGCTCAATGGGTAAAAGTGTTGGTTTGTGAATTTGGTGTCATACATAACACGAGTTCAATCCCTGAGGTGAACAATATGTACTTGCACGGCGACCAATAACTAAATGCTAAAATCTAAAGAATTAGATGATATCCATTGACATGGGCAGTTGCCCCCACTCCACCCCATAGATTAAATAAAGGGTTCTATTCAGTTCAGAGTTCCTTGAAGCTTCTCCTGATCTATATACACCTGAAGAAGGCCGGAGGGCCCAACGACCGAAACGTTATGATAACAACAAGTATGGGGACAATAGCCCGAATATAAATAGTGTAAATCTATCATATATCTATCCATATATATATATATATATATATATATATATATATATATATTCAATTTCATATTGAGAAAACAATGTTCCTTTCGGATCTTGTAGAATTATGTCAAGGTGACTTAAGAGTCTTTCAACGAATCCCTCCAATTTTAACACATTCAACATTATAGATAAAAATAGTGAATATTATATAGAGTTTGTTTTTTAATAATATGTAGTGAATATTATATAGCGTGTGTTTTTTAATGTTATATAGTGAATATTACATAGCGTGTGTTTTTGAATTTTATATAGTGAATATTAAATAGCCTGTGTTTTTGAATATTATAAAGTGAATATTATATAGTGTGTTTTGAAAATTATATAGTGAATATTTTATAGTGTGTATTTTGAATATTATATAGTGAATATTTTATAGTGTGTATTTTGAATATTATGTAGTCAATATTATATAGTGTGTTCTTGAATATTATATAGTGAATATTATATACTGTGTGTTTTTTAATAATATATAGTGAATATTATATAGTGTGTGTTTTTGAATATTATAGAGTGAATATTATATAGTGTGTGTTTTGAATATTATATAGTGTATTCTTGAATATTATATAGTGAATATTATATAGTGTTTTTTTTTCGAGACTAAGCATGAGCAAAACAAATTCACGGATTTGGACAAAAAAAAAGACCTCCATGATGACGTCAAAATCCGCGAAAAACTTTCATTTCTTTTATATTTAGTAGTGCTTAGTTGAAATTGTAACGTATATAAATGTAGGTAGAAGAAAGTAAATGTTGATGAGATAGCGAGGGTCACAAAGCACTGCCCCCGAACTTCCAACCAGGCTTGCCCCTCGCCCGGTTCGGAGGTAATACGCACCGGTTTGCTTTTATATAATAAAATAACACGACATGGTAGCTTAATTCATAATGAGATTAATGTTTGTACAACTGGGGTCGACCTATATACGGGATCTAAAATAAGAAATGGTCTAATGACCAAAAATCCAACAGCGACCTGTATATCAGATTCTCTTCAATATGATATATATATATATATATATATATATACTCGGAACTTAATACCAAGATACACACACATATCTATCTATCTATCTATCTATCTATCTATCTATCTATCTATCTGCTTGTGTTTGTGTGTGTGTATTTTATCACTTTAAACATTATTTTTAGTGGTTACTCGAATTTGTATAGACGCTCCGTTTATTTATTAAACAGTATATTTATTTATTTTCGTCTACCGACCTAACTATTTAATGAATAACGTGTCAATTGATAAAATCTGTTGGATTAATAAAGTAAAATCCATTACATCTTTAGAAAAAATGTGTGTGTGTGTGTGTTTGTGTGAAAATTTAGATATATATAAAAATAGATCTTTAAAATGACAATATGAATAAAGCCAAAAAGAAAAGCTTTTTAATTACCGGCGCGTTTCGTCCTATGATGGGTATTTAATGTTTATAAATAAAATCATTACATTTGCTTTGATAAAGTCCAACAGAAGACGAAAGGCGTCGGTAAAGAAAGATTTTTACCTTTTGTCTTTATTCATATATTTATATGAGTGTGTATTGTGTGTGTGTGTGTGTGTGTGTGTGTGTAAAATCTAAAGTCCATATCTGCTAGCTTTATTTTCGTATTCGAATCGTAAATAAAAAATGAATTTATTTTTATCTATTATTACTTATTGCCTTTAAACGTTAAATTTTTTTTCTGGTTAGATGTGCTTGTGTAGACGGCCTGTTTTATTTATTTATTTATTTTTTTTTTTGCAGGGTGAATAATATTTACCGGCCTGTGAATTCGAGAGACTGAATAAAAGAAAATATGCCCTTCGAATGGGTTCGAACCTGTTCCCCCTTAAAACAAATCTCTGTTTCAGTTTTCATTATTAAAACACCCAGGATGAGGAATATAATTCTCACTCTTTAACAACAAACAGGTTGTCTACTCGGATGTATGTGTCAACAAATTGTAACGCTTAAAGTGTATATATATAATATATATAATAGTGTGTATATATATATATATATATATATATATATATATATATATATATATGATTATATATATTAATTCATTTTCATAATTGATTCATATTGATTCAATTCACTTTCATTTTCTTTTATATTTATATATATATATATATATATATATATATATATCGTATTGGATATATATTTGGGGAGGCTGAAAACATCTCGATCCGACTCACTCCTCGCCAAATTTAACTAACGACAATAAGGGATGTAAAACGAAGAGTTTTCTCATACTTCTCAATGTTCACGCACGCACACATTCACACGTGTACACACACACACACACACACACACACACACACACACACACATATATATATATATATAAATATATATATATGTATGTATTTGTGTGTACGTGTATATGTGTGTGCATGTGCGTTTGTGTGATCAAACAGACGCGAAATCTATATGTATATAGAGGTAAAAAAGCACACGCATGCACACACACACAAATACCTCATATCTTTCTATCTATCTATCTATCTATCTATCTATCTATATATATATATATATATATATATATATATTTGGTTGGATTGATGTGAGTTTAGCATATATTGAGATATATTGATATATATATATATATATATATATGCGTGTGAGGATGAGTGCGTGTCGCTGTATACTTGTGAATGGTGTAGATGTGTGTGTGTTGAATAGTGGGATATGAAATAGACAGAGAGATAGATAGATAGATAGATAGATAGATAGAGAGAGAGAGAGAGAGAGAGAGAGAGAGAGAGAGCAAATTATTACATCTACATGTGATAGATATATAGATATATATATAGAGAGAGAAAAGAGGGCAAACTATTACTTCTGCATGTGATAGATAGATAGATAGATAGATAGATAGATAGATAGATAGATAGATAGATAGATAGATAGATAGATAGATAGATATCAAACTATTACTTCTATATGTGATATATAGATAAATAGATAGACAGACATACATACATATAGATAGATAGATAGATAGATAGATAGATAGATAGATAGATAGATGTGAACATACTGAGATGAAAACAAATGTGTAGACTGTATAGATAGAAATAAAGGAAAAGAGAGAGAGAGAGCAAACTATTACGTTGTCTGTCTATCCGATTCAAGAATGTGTTCCTTACGTATGCAAAACGATAGACGAGGGAAATTCAAGGGAGAGAAAGTAAAAAGAAAGGTGAAAAAAATTACCTCCGAATGTCTATAATGTAAGTAAAAAAAATACCTCTGCCGTTTGATCCTGGGTAATTTGAGATCGAAATGAAGAGAGAGAAAGAGTGAATGAACATAAATAAACAAGAAAACATCCACCATCAAGTTATTCTCCTCCACATTCAACCACCTGCTTTTATTGCTGGGCTCATCATGACTGCTGATAGGATTATTACTACCGATACATGTATATTCATATCCGTACGCACACGTACAAACAAGTCTGTCGTCCTCGAACACACACACACACACACACACACACACACACACACACACACACACATACATATATATATATATATATATATGCGCTTATTAGACTAGTATTGATTTTGGCCTAATGCCGAGTAAGGTCGTGAAAATTAACTATGCTCTGTTAATCAAACAGGAAGATGTGCGACTAGCATAGCATGTACTGGGGTGGAAGTTGGAATCAGAGTACCGAGTTCCAGTTACAGCCAGGTCTGTTGCTCTCACTTTTGCAGTAATGACATTGGGAAAGGCAGGAATTAATCAATTCTCATCAGACAATGCTATGGGTGAAATATTTGGACTTGGGCAGCAGACATCCCAGCGGATGAATTAAAAAACCATCATGGAAATATTTCACTGTGTTCCACAAGAAAATAAAGAGGATACGTCAACTTGTGGATCTTAGCTAACATATGCACAGGCTATATAAATATATATAGTGTGTGTTTATCTATCTATCTATCTATCTATCTATCTATCTATATCTATATATATATATATATATATATATATATATAAACACACACTTTATATATGTGTGCAAATCTACAGAAAATTAGGAAAGAACACGTTAGGTAAATCCGAAGTTCTTTAGTATTTTTGTTCTTATTTTCAAAAAACAGTGCTCAATATTATTATTATATACTTTTATATATTATAGTATATATAATATATTATATTATATAAATATATATATTATATATATTGTAATATATATATATTATATATATTATAACATATATATATTATATATATATTATATATATTATAATATATATAATATATATTATATATATTATACATATATTACATATATATATATATACATTAAATATATATATATATATATATATATATATATATTTATAGCTCTGTGTAACTACATTGGGCACTGTTTATCTACACCATTGATAAGATAAATAGTTATTTGTTCTACTGTATGTGTAACCACTCATATATATATATATATATATATATATATATATATATATATATATATATATATATATATATATATATATATATATATATATATATATGGTACTATGCTTGGAAAAACCTTGGGTACTTCGGCTTGTACTTGTACAGAAAGAAAAATGAGAAATAAAAAAAAGAACCAAGAACATGAAACTAAGGCGAAAACAATCGTCCAGAGTTCAAGCTCAAAGTCCAAAGAAAAAACCTCCAAAACGAGTTTAGGCAACTACGTAAAGTGCTCAATACATGAAGTAGAGCACACCTAAGATAAACCTAAGGAGCCAGGCAAACCTACCTTAGGTTTCACGTAAACGGTTCTTCAGACGATCCGTTTAAGTGCGTTTTTGGGTAAATCATATATATATATATATATGTGTGTGTGTGTGTGTGTGTTTGTGTGTGTGTAAGACACGTGATAACTGAGGTTTAAAACAAATTTTTAAAATTGAAAATCTTTCTTCGAGCATTAATTTTAGTTTTAATTTCAGGCTAATAGCTTCAATTTAATATTTCTAATAAACACTACCTTGTATTTCAAAAGTAATTTAAATTGAATGGAAGGATTTTTTAATCGCTAAAAATCCTAATTTTAGTCATTTTTAACAATCTGCCAGCACGTCGTAATTCTCTTTATTAAAAAAAATCTTTCAAAAATAAAAATACACTTTTCTGAAATGTTATTTGACGAATATTATCTGATTTAAACTTTAATTAATCTGATTTAAAACAATTATTACATTTAGTTTAAAATATTGCAGAAATCCATTTTTTTTAACACGGAGGTGGGTGTTTGTTTATTTAAGCTGTTGACAGTTTGACAGCTTAATGACAGATGGAAGTTTATCTATATTTTCTACGGGGATCATATCTGTAAAAATTCCTAGACGAATATAACGTGAGCGCCTTTTTCATATAAGTTTTAATTATTCAGTAATCTTAAAAAATTGAGAAAATATTTTCCGTAATCTAATGTTTTATTGAATTATAGGTTCTTTGGCTTTACATTTACTATACTTATCGCTCTTATCTTCTGATAATGTCGTGTATGGACTTCCGTATTTACAAAAATGGGTACGTTTATACACACTCACAAAATTAATTCAAAATTATTTTTAAAATACAGAGGGTAGTTAATTGACTTTGGACTTCTACTGTCTTGCTTTCTGCGGCCTCGACGACTGTGTCCTCTTCCAATGAAGGTTCTGGCGCCTGGTCTCCAGGTCTAGGACTCATTACCAGTGATGACTCTCCCTAGCAAGTCTGGTTCGGTTTCAGGACGCTCGTGGATGCCCTGTCACACCTGCGTGCGCCGCTCCTTCTGATCATCGTTCAGCAGCATCGGCACCGTCTTCGCGCAGATATTCCGCATGCCTAAATCTTCGGTGGTAATATTCCAGACAATGTCACGGTTCATGCCCACTGATTTGCGATCAGTCTAACAGTCATCCGACGGTCGCCACGCACCGCCTGCCTCATGCGCTTAACAGATGGCTTCAGCACTGCTCGTTAAAGACCTTCCGCTCCTAAGGTCGTCTTCCACGTCCTCGCGTACCTCTTTGAACATATTGTGCCACCGGAAAACCCGGGACTGTGATATTGTCTCATCTCAGCACACTTGCAGGAGTCCGAGTAATTCTGGGAGAGTTTTCTCCAGCCGGACTACAAACATCAGGTTGGTTCGTTGTTCTGTGCTCAGCGCTTGACAGCCTAAAATTGAGGAGTTGTAAATAAAAGTATGTGAATATATATATATACACAATGCCTGCACAGAGTGGAAAATTCAGTTATATACTTCCTGGATATTACGTTACATGGTGACACAGCCCGCTAATACCTGACCTAATCCACTGTTGAACTTAAATAAGCATGGAATAATACAACACAAAATGTACGTTAACAAAATGTATTGAAACAAAGAATAGGTACACAATATTTACAGTTAGTTTGGTATTTTTGGGAAGCTGTTCATGCATAATGGGTTGATTAAAATTAAAATAACTGATTCACTACGTCTTCCGGTACCAACCCATATTTATTTCGTGGTAATAATAAATTGTGTATCATTCCTGTAATTTTTGCAACAATGAAATTAAAATAAGTTCAATGCTTTCGAATAATAATTGACATTCCGTAAAAACCTATAGTTCATGCCACATTGACGGAAAGTACAAAAGAATTCTCCTATTAACATATTAGTACAAAAACGCACAACCTTAAAATTTAAAATTCAAATCTCAGCGTTGCAACAGCACGTTCCAAAACAATAACACATTTCTCATAGCATTTTTTCGGATTACATCTCTATTTTCGTTGTCCTCTTATTACCGAGAAGTAAAAAACTAGAACAAATCTATTTCAAATACCTGAGGATGTCTGTAGGAACAGACGAAAGCTTGTAAAAACTAAAAAAGACCTTATGCAACTGGAATTTATAAACAGGGATCATATCATTCATATACAGGTTCGGGGTTAGTGTACTTTATTAAAATTGTTTGTGAAGATGTATTCTCGCCATCTAAATCATTAACTTCTATATCTGTTTTTTTTTGAATGATTCATATAATTATATATATATATATATATATATATATATATATATATATATATATATATTGAACAATAAAAAATATTAAAAATTAAAATCTTCAGATACAGGTTGTTTTCGTTTTTTTATTATTTTATTTAGATTATTACTCGACTAATTTCGGCCAACATATATATGTGTGTGTGTGTGCGCGCGCGCGTGTGTGTGTGTGTGTGTGTGTAGTCTGTATTTTAGTTAAGAAGCACACGGTGATTATATATATATATATATATATATATATATATATATATATATGGTATCATCTACAGACAGATTGTTTTGCTGTATCACAATTCATCGGTGTGGATAGACGCTAGGATCGAAACCCGGCGTCAGTCGGAGAATCTACCCCTAAGCCGTTGGCGGACGTAGGGAAGAAGGTGAATTTAAGCGTATTCATTTTTAGATAAACACGCCAGTGAGTGAGAGAACTCGATTCGTTATATCGAATAGCATTGCATTAGTAGCAGTAGTAGTCAATGTTTATAAACTCACACTTTCTTCCTCGGGAACTCAACTGAAATGATTTTTTTCAGGCATATATATATATATATATATATATATATATATATATATATATATATATATATATATATTGCATATATTTTGGCAGCATGTTTTTCATTAAAACGTCTCATTAATTTAGACAAGTTTTGTCTACTTATTTTTTAATAGAATAGCATCCTCTCGTAATTAGGGACAAGTTTCTTAGTATCCTTATTAAATGAAGAAAGAAAATTACGATGCTGATGCATATTCGTTTTATTCCGAGTACTTTCGATATTGGCACAATGTCATCATCAGGGTCTTGTGTAAAATAAAATAAAAATTAAAATAGTACAGTACGTAAACTTAGCGTTTTTCAGTTCACACGTAAAGAATTTAATTTTCAGTTTAACACAACAATTTTGTCTTAGAAAAATGATGAACACAGCAATTTTTTGTCGACATATTTTGATGACATTATGCTAATGTCGAAAGTACTCGGGATAAAATGAATATGTATATAACATGGTAATTTTCTTCCTTTCGGGGCGTCTACTTAAATACGAGTACCTTCTTAAAAGAATGTTAAAGTAATAAAAATTCGCGCACCCGCATAAATATATATATATATATATATATATATATGTGTGTGTGTGTGTGTGTGTGTGGTGACCAGAACTATCACGGTTATTTTGTTAAAAACAAGACATTATACCCCAGACATTATTTTACGTATACGCATGTTTCAGTTAACGCCCTGTTTTCTTAAACAGTTTGAATTACGTCTAATGACCTGTGCAAC